CTGACATATCTTCTGGCATTCTATCTGGCAAATCTTCTGGCATTCTATCTGGCATATCTTCTGGTCATTTTCTATCTGCACATGTACCTTCTGGCAAATTCTATTGGCATTCTACTATCTGGCATTCTATCTGGCATTCTATCTGGCATTCTATCTGGCATATCTTCTGGAATATCTTCTGGCATATCTATCTGGCATATCTTCTGGCATATTTTCTGGCATTCTACCTGGCAAATCTTTCCCTGCCGGACCTCATGTAGGAAGATATGGGACAAAGAATGTGCAGAAGAAAGTTAGAAAGAATATCAGACAAGTATGTGATATATTACTTGCGAACTTGCAGGTGTGTGGTAGTGTGATCGGGGCAATGCCACTTCTGACTTTGCGGGTGGCAAAGTTTGAAGCAATCAGTTTGAACAGATGACAGAGTCACTGGGGTGGACAGAGACATTTCCATTTCTGTACCTTTGGAGCTGTTTGCAAAGACGCTTGAGACAGGCAACATCTTACAGCAAGTTACTACAAATTACTTGAAGGGATCTCATGCTGGATTGATGCTTGAGACAGTCAACATCACACAGAGTTTCTATTGTGTATCACAGCTATGGTAGCATGGTGGATATGTGACATCGGAACATTTGTTGGAGCATTTGAGCCCTCATCTACTCGATCGCGGGCCAGAGGCAGGATGGACATCATCATAGAAGCATTCAGCAGGAGGAGGTTATGTGATCAGTAGTGTCTTCTTGCGTGTTTTTGTTTGCTTGGCAGGTGATGGCCGAGGGTGACCAATCTGCGAGTGCTGCGCAGGCGAGGAGTTTGAGTGGAAGTAAGCACATTGGCCAGTGGCTGCTTTCAAAAGTGTTGGATAAGTGATTTGGAAAGCAGCTTGTGCTTTGGGACCTTGCGCAACAGCCGACGCGAGCTCAAGCACAAGCAGAAACGTGAATAAGATAATAGTGCTCAAAGGATAGGGAGATGAAACGCTTGAGAATATAAATGTAGTAGGTGTATCTCTTCGAAATGTTTCAGTGAGAAAGAGTGGAGAAGTTACATACGATCTAGATATTTAGATGTCGCTTGACACTGCAAGATGGACACTGTCTTTTTGCACTTGGGAAGTTTGAACACATTGGGACTGAACTGGTTTTGACCGGGAAGGTCTTGTGTTTCAAGAGCCATGGCAAAGAGATCATGGCCATTTGGTGTCACGAGTTGGGATGACACTGTGAAATTTGCGCAGCTTTTGTTTGGTGTAGACGTTGCCTTTGAGAACTATGCAGAGAGATTGCCGCATAGATCGAATAAATCCTTCTTGCTATTCGCCAAAGGCGCTTGTGCTGAGGGAACGCCCTTCTTCGAGATTGGAGATTTCATTGCACCGCAGCTAGAAGAGATTCAACGTTGGGAAGATTCCACCAAGTTTGTGCGCGACATGATTTCTGTCGGCCTTTTGCCCTTGACAGGGGATGAAGAAGCGTTGCATAGAACTGCGGCCTGCAAGCCGCGAGTGGCACTGCAGTGAATCCACGAGCAGAACAACTGAGGTTGAAAGAGAAAGTGCCCATGATCACGCAGCCGCTACTGGATGCTCAGCGCGCCGCCATGACAAATGATAGCATGGGCCTCAGCCGCTTGTCGGCGGACCGGGCTGCTACGAGCGACTGCGCAGAGCGCGCAGGAGAGTTGGCTGCAAACAGTGATGTCGCGATGCCAGAAGCAGAATGGCGTACCTTTAGCAAGCCATCTGCAGCGATGGCGCGGAAGGTTGCTGCGTTTGAAAAGTCTGCCGCTGGATTCAAGCTGGCGCCGGAGCAATTGTCTGCTTGCAGATGGTTTGGTGAGGCAATGGATGTCGCTTTACAGGAAGAAGAGAACAAAATACCTTTGCGAAAACGCGCGCAGCACGCATGCCTTTTGATTGGCGCCGGTGGCACTGGCAAGACGACAATCATTTTGGAGCTCATGCTGGATGTTTTTTGTCACTTTTTTCCAGCCAGGCCCGGAGAAGAAGAGCGATACATGATTGCCACCTTCAGCCATGCCCAATCGGATGCCATTTCCAATGATGTCTATCGCGCGCGCGAACATGTCATACTGCTTGCTCGTATCGTGTAGCCAGTTTGCGCAACAAGCATTTGGCCTTGAAGACAAAAGAGCAAGAGATGAAACAACGCTGGCAGCCGAAAATTTTAATCATTCAAGATGAAATCAGTTTGGTGCCAGCTGCAGTGGAAAACATGATGCTTTACCGCAGCATGCGCGCCCGTCAAGATGAAGGCCTTGATCCAGCCAGCTATTTCCACCCAGGAGAGCTCATGGGACACATACCAATTTTGCTGATTGCAGGTGATTTTTTGCAGATCAAGCCTGCCAACGAGATCTCCTTAGCTGACAATCTCGAAGAGCTGATCCGCAAAATGCCGCACAGAGTGCAGACAGAACACCATGCTGCCCAGGCGCCATTGATGACCATTGATACAGTGATTCATTTGAAGAAGTCGAAGCGGTTTCTGGATGCTCACCTGCCAGAAATCACAACAGCCATGCGCACGTGCACGCCTGCTGCTCCTTTGTCCGAGGATCACTTGGCTCAGCTGCGCACTCGCAAAATCGAAAATTGCAAGAAAGAACTAACCACGGACTTGTTCAAGCATGGTCACGTCACGTCATTGGAATGTATTGGGAGAAAATTGCTCGCAGCATGGTGGAACGGGCAAATCGAGATGCGCAAGACCTGGATGTGCCGTTATTTTGTTTGCAAGCTGCTGACCAAAGGCATTCCAGAAAAAATAAAGCCATAGACAAGCAGCTGACACATCAACTGCTCACTGTTCCAAACCCGCATCGCACTGGCAAATTGCAAGGCATGCTACTGGTGCACGAGAACATGGTTGTGCGACTGGCGGATGTCTTGGCTCCACACCTTGGATTGGTTAAAGACAAACTGGCAGTGGTAGTAAAAGTGGATTTGCACCATGAAGATCAGAAGCGCCTGGACCGTCGTGAACCTGGATTCTGTCATTTTTTTCCGGACTACATGGCCAAAGGTATATGGGTGAAATTACTTAAAGGAAAGAATTCGCCCATGGAAGATGCTCTGTTGCAGACGTGGGAAGAAAAGTTTCAGAATGTGGCCGATCACACAACTGACGCAAAGACATTGTTCTTTGTGGAATTGGTGCATGCAGAGTTCAAATTGATTTGAAGCTAGGCGAGGAAACCGAGAAAATTGAAGTGATTCGCTGGCAGTTTCCTCTTTTGCATGGCATGCTGCGCACTGCTTACAGCGCGCAAGGCTTGACTTTGGACGGAGGTGTGCTGGTTGATTTGCGTCGTGGTGGTGGCCTAGAGGATGCGGACTGGTGGCTAGCCATCTATGTCATGCTGACGCGTGCCCGCAAACTGAAGAATCTCATCTTGCTGGGGTTCACGGAGCAAGTGGAGGAGCTTTTACGCAAAGGCCCTCCTATACCTACTTGCGAGAACTGACTGACAAGTTGGAAGCCAAAGCTGCTTCGACGCTGGAGCGGCTGCAGTCCTGGCCTGTCTATGATGCATTGCAAGCATCCTGACACAGTGCTCTGCCAGTGGGACCTAATCGGTTTTGATTGAAGAGGTCTGGTGGAGAAATAGAGAGTTGCAGCTGCAGCGATCTGATGAAGTAACACTGGCATGGTTTTGTCGAGTTTACACGTGAGCTTGCGAGCCTTTGACTTTGGTTCATGGTCCACTGGCTTGGTTCAGTCATGTTTGTACAAACATGTTTGACAGGCGGTGTGCTGACATGTTTGGGCATGTTTGTTTGTTTGGCTCAGGTGGTCCACTGCCCTGTTTGGTCATGTTTAAACAAACCTGTTGAGAGCTCTGGAGTTTACTTCACATGGTCCACTGACATGTTTATATCCTGTTTGACAGTCAAATAATTGGGATAGTTAGTTGGGCAAAGATATGTCAGAATGACCTGCACAATGACCTGCCAGGTGAAACAAATGATTGGGATAGTTAGTTGGGCAAAAGTCCCGTGACAAAAGCTTCAGACAAAAGTGCTGTCAACAAGCTGTTTTGAAATGTCATGGTGGGGATCACTCGAAGTAAAGTAATTTTTCTAACAACACCATGCTATCAAGCGGCATCTCTGCAGTGGTCCGTACCGCCGCGCAAGGCGTTGTAGAACCTGACCGTCTTCAGTGTTGGTTGCAAGGAAAGCTGGTAACGTTTAGTCCATTTTAGTCCTCACCTTCCAGCCATTCTTGACACACTGCTAGAACTTTCTTCTTCACCGGAGCTTGGGTCGGTCTCCTGCAAGTAGGAAAGCAAGTGACTACTATCACTATGAGCCGCAATCGACGCAATCGGTTTAATCCGCTAAAAATGGTAGCCTCTAAGTCTTAGGATGCTTGGCCGTCCTCTGCACTGGTAGTGGCACATGGTGTCTTCAAGACAGTCGGAGAACCTGCGAAATTTCACGCTGTTACAGCTTAATGATAATGGGAGCAATAGGGTCTGGAAAGCGAGGCAGTGCAAGCCTGGATTCTCAGAGAAGTTGCAGCCATCACATCCGGCACAATTGCATTTGGCCTGCTTGATCAGGCTTGAAGGACTCAATATGTTTTCCATATAGTTGCCCAGATTCTTCCGAGGGAGAATAGCAGAGACATAAACTGTGTCAAGCCATCCATTCAGTACATTCCAGTGACATTTTGGACGGTACAAAATGGTGCAAAATGACGATTTTGCGCTAATGTCGCAAGGAAAATCCCACCTTCTCTCCAAAGGGAAGCAAATTTGTTGGCGTTGGCCCTGCTACATCCTTTACGCTGATGGCCTTCCACAACAAAATCTGCCTTTGTGGTCAAACAAATGAAGCAACACGTCGGTTGGTCCAAACTGCAGAAAACTTGAGAATCTGGAGAAACTGACTATATAACTATGATTGGAGATCAAACATGATCAAACCCTGCATGCAAGACCAGACTCACAATCTGCTGTAAGCTAGCTTCAAATAGCTTCAAACATCTACAGGCAAGGTGCAGAAGGACCACGATCACAAGGAACCATATGATGCCAAATTCGGCCAAGTATGCCTGGCAAGCACTATGGAGCATGGCCCAAACACTTCCCAACATGTATGAGTCTGTAAGACAGTACCAGTTGTTCCAGTGAAAGTCTCACTGTCAGCACGTTGCTAGACAGGTGAGAAATCTAGTGCCCCGCCTCAATGATGTTTGGAACAACTCCACTGACAGAGCCCCCAATTTGGATCGCCTGTGAGCCCGGATATTAAAACATAGTTCTATGAAGTTCTATGCTTACAAGAAGAGCGGCAACAGCAGGAACATGTTTGCGCCAAGATAAACTCAGCAATTTCAGATTCAGCCAAGAGTCCGCTGCATAGCGGCTAGGATGCCTGCACAGGCGTATCTGATCATTGCGACAGGCCCTTGATCCAGCCAAAGGTAGTAGCTGTCCAGCTTGTCCTAGTCCCAACTTCACGAGTCAAAGCAAGGTGCTGAAGTGCGATTGGCCACACGGTCAAGTCCTTGGTCTTTGGGCAGAATTGAAGTACCCACACGCACGACGCATGACATGTTAGCATCATGTTTCAGGGCCCAAGATTCCGCCACATTGCCAACTGCACCTGACAGATGCGGTCCACTGCCACAACATACTCCAACAAATCATGACAGCAAAGTCACTGCAAAGCCACTGCACAGCCACTGCAAAGCCACTGATTGCCAACGCCTTACCAAGGCAGCATCCAGGTAATCTAGTGGACACTCATTTCCCATTGCCTGCAAGAGCCGCAAGAACCACTAGCTCAATGGTCTGCTCATCCCACATCCACCTTAGCACGAAGGCAGTCGAAGTCAGACAGTTGTGAAGCTCAGCACACTTGGAGTACAACTCGGAACTCCGATTGACTCGAACATATTCAAAGAACATCAAAGAACCTTTTCTCGATGACATTCTCCTTTTCGCCACGTCCATCATGCTCATGCTGTATAACTCAAGAGATCACAGACAGAGTGCCAAATCATGCGCATCCTTCTGAATGGATCTGAATGGCATTCATGTGCTATTCTGTTCTGCCCCAATTCTTCAACCGTTCCTGCATCATTCGCGGCTGCTTAGCGCATTACACAATTATCGTGCGATTCTGAGGGAGCTTACACAATTTCTGATTGCTGAGTTGGGTGGTGCAGTCCTCAGCAAAACGCAACTAGGATCTGCTATGGCATGCTACCCCCGAGAAGGATGGATGACATAAGAGAGTATAAGAGCTTAGACTTTCACAGCCTGCACAGCCATCTCCATGCTGTCCAGCTGCAAAAAGATGAAGAGCACCAGAGCAGCGACTGCAGCGAGTTGCCCAATGTGGACATTTTCAGCAGCATGAGCTGCTGCCTTCAGGTTGCCAATACTGGCAGCTGGTTGGATGAGTTGTGCTTAGTTGTGATGAGTTGTGATGAGTTGTGATGAGTTGGAAGTGCACTAAGTGCTCCAGTTGCCAAACAGGCTGTTCATATCTGTTCATCCAGTTGGTTCATGGCTGTTCCATATTCCAAACCGTTCCAGTTGCCATGTCTTGCCATGACTTGCTGGTTTCGCTGCCTTCTTCCGCTGCTGCTCCTCCTTGAAGAGTCGTCGTTTTTCGTTCATTTCCCTGGGCACCATATGCAGATGGAGTAACTACTTGGATTGGAGAGTTCATTATTCTCTGATTCAATTTCAATGCTTATATCTTCACTTGATTCTAAAAGAATCTAGCTGGGTTCTCTCTGACATTTGCTGACCATGCGAACTCAATGTTCTCTAAATGCTTACTGTGGCTGCTTAGATCCTTAAGAAGACAGCTGAAAGGCCAAACAATGTCAATCGAGAAGCTCCATTGATCGAGCCACGCTTGCCTTGGTGGGACAAAGTCGAGACAAATGAGGGCAGCATGGTTCAAAAAAACGAAGCCCGTAAAACTATCACTTGATTTGCATGTTGATGGACCATGCACCAGCACATTGCACGTGATCCAAACAGTTGTGTAGATGCCGTGTAGATGTAGTATATTAATATACCAGCAAGATAATGATAATGCTTAGTGGCTTAGTCCCTGAGCTTCTAAGCATCATCTTGCGGTCCGTCAAAGTGGACCGGCTGAAAGAACACTCCCAACATATCACTCCAGCGGCAGAAGATTGCTGCAAAGGTGCTCTCTCCTCCAAACTCTTGTTGTACTCCACCACATGAAAAATGATCGCATAAACCTCGGTTTCTGAGCTTCTCTTCACAAGAGAAATGAGAGACATTGAGGGACTATGAGATCTATGAGGGACTACTGGTACTACTTAAGTTGCTTAAAGTTGCTTAAGTCGCAGACAGCTCCAATCTGCGTACTCGCATTGACAAGGCTGGCTGTCCTTGCGCCCTCTGGTAGTTTCTGCACAAACATCGGCAGCCTCGAGGTGCCGCAAGCATTCTGCCGATTCTGCCCGGCCCGGTGTCTACTTTTTGCGCTTTGAAAAGAATAATGCCAATGGGCCATAGGTATCCATAGGTGCTGTTTGTTGCCTGCCTCTGGAGTTGATTACATCATTGTTTGTTCTCAGGAAATGGCGAGGCGAACACGGAATTGGATGCAAACCAGCCGCTGACCTTGCAAGTTAAAGAACTTCTGCACATTTACATGATTGTTCACAAATGCTACTGATGAAAAAGGCTGATGCTGAGGATGGAACACCAAGGGCAAGAAATCGAAACCATCTGATCAGCGACGTGGAGTCATCCTGTTTCAAGGTACGCTGATAATGACAATTATGAAAATACTGATAGCATGAAAGTGTGCCTTACCAGTCTTACCATCCCAGCGCACAAGAACTAACTTGCTGTGTCACGCAGTCCTTGACCTTCAACTTCTGCTCTCGCTGATTGTCGCTCAGAAGCGGTTGCGATTTCGCGCTGTACAGAGTGACACTGGGTCCTGGCCGTCTAGAAAAAAACTGTGATAGTATGATAGAATGTGCAGTTAATGCTTCTGATGGCTGTGTAATTAGCTTGAAACAACTCTTTAAGACCATGAGAGCAGCAATAGAAATGTGCATCGGAGCCGGACGCACTTTTTGTAAACGTTGGCCATGAGTGTGACTCACTCAGCTAGCTAGGATCACTTTTGAAGTGTCCCACTCTGGCTGAGTCAAACATGTGCTTCCCTCCCCTTTTGAGTTAGGAGAGGGCGGGTGGGGATTTCAAAATCACACCCTTGAGCCAAAATGGCCCCAGGCCAAGCTGGTTCAAGGGTTTCCCTCCCACAAACACCCCTCTCATGTCATTTAGTTGTTACAACAACAGCTTCACTGTTTCACCCAACAACTCTTTAAGACCATGAGGGCAGCAATAGAAATGTGCATCGGAGCCGGACGCACTTTTTGTAAACGTTGGCCATGAGTGTGACTCACTCAGCTAGCTAGGATCACTTTTGAAGTGTCCCACTCTGGCTGAGTCAAACATGTGCTTGATTGAGTCCATGATGCCAACTTGGTCCATTCTGCGTTCGAGCGCATTATGACTCCGATGAAGATGATGAAGAGGTAGAGGGCTCATCATCCAATTTCTGTTGCTTGGGCTTAAAACATTTATTGCATTCTGGCTTGTCTGGGTCCGCTTGACTTGCAAGTGCATAGTCTGCGTGGCCACGTGCAAAATACCAGTTGCATTGGGTGCGCCATAGGTAGTGAGGACGCGTTGGTCCACTACAGGCTACCTTGTGGATCTTGCCGTAGGCAGATCTGTTAATCACAAACTCCACTGAAGCTGGCTGCTCCGATGGCGGAGCAATATCCACTGCAGCCTCGCAGTCCGCAAGGCAGCCCACGGACTGGTTCCGTAAGGAAACTGCTGCGGCTGGCGGGGAACAATTTTGCGCCTGGCTGAGGATCGCAGAAAGTTCCGCCCGGGCTGCTGCTAAAGAAGTTGTGAGAGAAGCTTCTTTTGCCAAGGAATGTAGCTGCTGAAGTGGAGCGTCGCGGATATATATCCTGAAGCACTCCGAACCCCAGCGCCCAAATAGCTGGATCCTCCAGAGTTCGATCTGGGTCTGTGCCAGGTACACTGCGCCAGTTGCCCGGGCGCTGTGTCCGGTGAATCTCCTTGCCCCAGTGTCTGTGTGAGTAGGAAGATTCAGCTGCTGTGCCATGCATTGCATGGTGTCGGCCCATCCGCATTTGGATGACTGCTCACCTGTGGCTGATGGGAAAACCCAGCGATCGCTGATAGCTCCCACTGCCTCTAGGTGCTCCACCATGGCATGGTATGGACACTCTGGCTGCCGGGCATTCTGTTCGCAATTACAAGAATGCGTTCGAGTTGCGCCCAGGGCTTGCCAATCCGCCTTACTGGATGGAAGCTTCCAGTGGATAAGTCTTTGGACCTTGTCGATTTCGATGTGCGACCTCTCTGCCGAGCTTGCCTCGATTTCACGAAGGAGCCACCATGATGCCAACATGACCGACCTCATCGGGAAAATTGGTCCTCCAGGAGCTGCTGGGTCCTTGTGAACTTTCAGCTTCGCTAGCTCGATCATCGGCAAAGGTTGCGCCTGTTTGGCTGGTCCTCGGCCCCTTTGGCACGCCCTTCTGGCTTGCCTAGAGGCCTGGGCAAGCTGTGCCGTCCAATCAAGTCCTCTCTCAATGTGTATCTGCTTGGCTGTATCCATGTACAGCTCTGCTGATCTATAGCCGGCCATGTCCATCGCTCCCATCACCGTGTTGATGAGGTCCGGGGACAGACGGAACGGGTCTGAGAAACCCGCCGCCCTGGCCAAGGCAGACCACGTTGATTTCCTTGACTCGTAGGGGCCTCTGGATGTATCTGCCTTTGCTCTCTTTGTGATGTGTTCTGCACACTTTTCCGGACCTGTGGATGCGTGCCTTATGGCGTCGTTTAGCGAGCCCCTAGCGTAAGCCTTGACACCTGGCTGTGCCAATGGTGCGGCTGCTTCGGGATGCCCGGGGTCGACGGCCCCATAGACGGGCCCCTCCTGCAATGGGCGTAGCCCTGCAGAATGGGTGGCTGGTTTTGCCTGGGGTATTCCCTGGCCCAGCCAAAACCGTGGACCTAGACTACGCTTCATTTCGAGCCCAAAACTCATATGTTACCTACCCAAGAAAACATGCAGTGCACAGCCTCAGTTCTTATGTGAAAACCTATGCCCCCCAAACCACTTTTCCCCCTTTGAAAGATCTGGCGTTACCCTTTGGTAAATGTCAAAACGAAGAATCCACTTGGATGGGTATGCGTGATGCAGCCCCCAGGTCTTCGTGCGGAAAACATGGTGGGGTAGGTTCAAACTGCCGGCTCAATGCATCTGCTACTTTATTGAGTTTGGTGTTCAGATGTTGAAGGATTGTGAACTCGTATATTCCCTTCGCCTGATCTAAAGCTATTTCTCTGGCGACCATAGCCATCCCTGGCGACTTGGCCTTGCCTTTTGCTAACATGTGGAGGGCCGATATGTTGTCCGACTTGACACGAAGGATGGACC